GCATGAAAAGATACGTAAGTAACCCGACAAATTAACTGAGTATGTTTCACTAGTTTCTATTAGTGGATGAGAAAACAAATGTAAGTGAGTACATAAATACCTTGAATATAAAATGACACATGTTGAGTGCTATACTTCATTACGGGACTGTAGCATGAAAACTACTCTAGGACTCTGCTCCAGAAAAAACAAGCAGCTGTGTTGTCTGCCCACATTCTAGGCTGTTTTGTATCTTGGTGACTGCTTGTGCTGCACATTTTGCCCCAAATTTTCTTCCCATCTTTCTTTCACTATTTTTTTTTCTTGCTTATTATTCCTGGAAGGTCATATTTCAGTATATATTATTAGTGGTTTTAATTTCTTTCCCTTTTATCTTCCCCTTTTCTTTTGTTTATATTATATTCTAACTTTCCTATATTAAATATATGTTGCTTTTGTAATAGAAACAAACATTACTTAAAAAAAAAAGAGAGAGAGAGAGTCCACCTGGGGGTCTGCAAGAACTGCGTCTGGAGTGCCCAAGGAGCTAGGTGTCAGAATGTCGGAAGCAAGGCCTGTGACTTGAGACAGAGCGGTGCACTGGGTCATCACAGGCACCAATGGCTCCTCCTTTGCACTCTTCCATTGTCTTATTTTTTTTTTTTTTTAAGATTTTATTTCTAAGTAATCCCTACACTCGATGTGGGGCTCAAACTCACAACCCCAAGGTCAAGTGTCGCATGCTCTTCCAACTGAGCCAGCCGGGTGCCCCTCTTTCATTGTCTTAAACAACAGCTCAGGGTTTCTGTTACATAAAATTTAGATAATGCATACTAGTGTATTGACAGAAAGGGATGGAGAAAGGTAGTGAAGGAGGGAGGGATTCCAAGATGTACTTTGAGGCTGTTGGAATATTTTCATTATTTGGATTGTGGAGATGATTTCACAGGTGTGTACATATGTCAAAGCTCATCTTACAGTTAAATATATATAGTTTACATGATGTCAGTTATACATCAATAATGTTGTAAAAAAGTTCTCCTGAGGGACAGTAATACTTAGGGTGCTTTAAGTTCCAATTTAAAAAAAATTCAAGTGGCATAAACAATTAAGGAAAATTTCTTGCCTCAGTATAACTGAAATATCTAGATGTAAGCTTCAGGCATGGTTTGATCGGAGAATCCCCTCCACATGTCCGTGAGCCACTCTGCTCACTTCCTGATGTTGGCTTCATCCTTACACAAGTTTTCTTTCTGGTAGCCAAATGGCTGCAGCAGTTGTAAGCTTCACATTCATATAGCACACCTTCCAGGAGAATAGATAGGTTTCCTTCCTCCACTCACTGAACCCAAATCTCCAGTCTTACCATGATTGAATCAACTAAGCTTTGTATGTCCGTAAATCTGTCACCGTGGCAAGGGCCTGGGCAGTAGTTAACCCCACTCTAAATATATGACTACTAACCAGTGAAGGAATAGTGGAATGGATGATAAAGAAGCAACCCATTGAAATGCGAGCTATGGGTTGGCAAATCAATATGGAATGGTCAACTTGAGGAAAGTCAAGATTGGACTGAGAGCTCCTGGCTGGCTAGTGGGTAGACTCTTGATCTCAGGCTGCTGAATTCAAGCTCCATGTTGGGCATGGAGCCTACTTAAAAAAAAATAGATATGCAAATCTCATCACTCCATAGGATACATATGCCACCCTGCCTAGGAATGAATGAACCTTCTAACTTATGTCATTTTTCTCTAAACTTTTTTTTTAACTGAGGTATCCTTTACATATACAATTCATATTGTATTACATATACAATTACAATTGTATATTGTAATTGTATATGTATTACATATACAATTACAATATACAATTCAAACTGACAATACATAACATATTCAGAACTAGTATGGTTGTCTATGAGTCATCTGTCATCATTTATGCTGCCTGTGAGAGTAAATTCTCAGTTTGTAGAGATGATATTTCTATTTTTCTGATACAACTACATACACAGAGGTTGTTTATTAATTGCTTTGGGGGCGCCTGGGTGGCTCAGTTGGTTAAGCGACTGCCTTCGGCTCAGGTCATGATCCTGGAGTCCCAGGATCGAGTCCCACATCAGGCTCCCTGCTCAGCGGGGAGTCTGCTTCTCCCTCTGACCCTCCTTCCTCTCATGCTCTCTGTCTCTCATTCTCTCTCTCGCAAATAAATAAAATCTTAAAAAAAAAAAATTAATTGCTTTGGGATGATGATTTGATGAAGATGAAAATGATAAGATACCAATCACTTTAATCAGTTTAAATAAATATAAATTTGGAGTAAATTTTGGAGGTTGGATTTGGGGAGGAGGGAAAGTCTAAAATCGGTATTTCTTAATAATGTCTTCTAAAAGTGGTGAGAATCTCCTAGGCATTCTTACCTCCTGCTGCTTGTTGTTATTGTCATATCCAACATGAGCAGTATATCTGTTGTTTATGCCTGCCCAGCACCCATTTTTTCTGGAAACAGCACCTATCTCTCCCATTCCAGAAACCATTGGTCTCCCCTTCTCAGAGCTCTTGCCTCAGACCTGAGGGAGCGAGTGGGCCCAAGACTCAGGCATGGCCAATCAATTCAACATCCGCCTGAGGCATGTGACCTGAGCTGGGCCAATGGGAACTTCGCTAGGACCCTCACTCAGAGTCCAGAAAGGAAGCACTCTCTCTCAGCTGAGATTTTAAGGCTGGTTGAATGCAAGCTTGCCAGCCATGAGCCCTCTTTACCATGACATGTGTGACCCCTTATGTGTGAATGAAGCCAACTCAGAGGGACGCCTTATGTGTGAATGAAGCCAACTCAGAGGGACGCCAAGCCAAGAATGGAGATGGATTCCTGATGGCATGGTTTGAGCACATGAATCCAGTTAGAGCTATCCCCTACTCTTTTTGGTTATGTGAGCCAATAAATCTCCTTTATACTTAGTCCAGTTTGAATTCAGTTTCAAAACTTGCAACTCAAAAAGCTTTGACTAATAGCACCACCATTATAATGGTTATCTGCAGCACCCATCCCTTCTTCCTGGAGCCAGAAGCAAAAGTCCACTTCCTGAAGCAGAACCTCAGATGACTGCGACAGTCAACTGAGTGAATGCCCACAGGAAGTCCAAGGTGGCAGTGTGGGGTGTGGTGGTTGAGTGGGAGGCTTGGAGGTGCTTCTAGGGCAGAGGAAACACACACGCAGATAGCTACCATTGAGACACAGGCTCTACCTGCCTGTTCCTGGAGCACTCATCTGTCTTCTCTCCCAGCTCCAACTGCAAATACTTTGATAGACACAGATTTTTTTTTTTAAGATTTTATTTATTTATTTGAGAGAGAGAATAAGAAAGAGAGAGAGCACATGAGAGGGGGGAGGGTCAGAAGGAGAAGCAGACTCCCTGCTGAGCAGGAAGCCCGATGCGGGACTCGATCCTGAGACTCCAGGATCATGACCTGAGCCGAAGGCAGTCGCTCAACCAACTGAGCCACCCAGGCGCCCGACACAGATTTTTTTTTAAGATTTTATTTATTTATTTGAGAGAGAGAAAGAGAGAGAGCATAAGCAAGGGGAGCTGCAGGCAGAGGGAGAGGGAGAAGCTGACCTGCTGAGCAGGCAGCCTGAAGAGGGTCTCTATCCCAGGATCCTGAGATCATGACCTGAGCCAAAGGCAGACCCTTAACTGACTGAGCCACCCAGGAGTCCCTTGTTAGACACAGATTAAAATCACTCTACTGGGTGCTTTGCAGGCACCCCGAGCCAATCAGGAACCACCATTCCATTAAAGTTTCATATTTGCATGCAATCATTCCTTTAAACAGCCCAGGCTTTAAAATAATAATGCAATTCTAAGCTCTTGTCCCCAGGGCCTACTCAGTTTTGTGGGCGCAAATATTGCCACTGAAAATGGTCCAAAAATGTTATCCAAGATTTTCTGGCAAAAGTAGGGCCAGAAACGCAGGGAGAGAATCAGACTCTTTCACTCACTGTATAAGGTTAGGAGTAGTAAAAAGGGAAATAACAAACCCATTTCTTGTCAATCAAGACCATAAGCTCCACAAGGGCAGAGATTATGTTTCTTTCTGTTTGTCATTGCATTTTTTTTTCTCATTTTCAAGTTTATACTCTTTTTGTTTTTCAAAATGGAAATAAACCGGCATATATATTTGTGAGTACAGAAAGGAAACCATTTTGCTAGGGAATGGTTTTCTGATAATATCTATATAAGAGGCTGAAGCTGTGAACATTCACCATGTCAGTATTGAGAAGCTATGCAGAGTATTACTATATGGAGTCACCACTTCACAGAGGCCCATGTGTCCCCTCACTAAACAGGCATGACTCCACATTCTGACCTCCCATCATGGGTCTCCCTAGGAACTCTGCTGCACACAATGTAAAGATAAAACCTAACATTCTTTCTTTATTTTTTTTAAACCTAACACTCTTTAAAAAAAAAAAAATCAAATCTTTAAGGAAAAAAAGGGGGGACACCTGACTGGCTCAGTGGGGCCAGCAACTCTTAATCTTGGGGTTGTGAGTTTGAGCCCCACATTGGGTGTAGAGATTACTTTAAAAAAACCTTTATAGGGCGCCTGGGTGGCTCAGTTGGTTAAGCGACTGCCTTCGGCTCAGGTCATGATCCTGGAGTCCCGGGATCGAGTCCCGCATCGGGCTCCCTGCTCGGCAGGGAGTCTGCTTCTCCCTCTGACCCTCCTCCCTCTCATGCTCTCTGTATCTCATTCTCTCTGTCTCAAATAAATAAATAAAATCTTTAAAAAAAAAAAAAACCTTTATAAAGAAAAAAACAAAAACCTAACACTCTTGGGGGAGAATGAAATCTAAAAGGAACAATAATTTTTCAAAATAACCTGGGAAACATCAGGATGAGATGTTTCCATCAAGGAGGGCATTCTGGAAGCTCCTTTTTAAGTCACAGCACTTAACCATAAATCCTCAGGTGACAAGGTCAATCCTGGACGACCCAGCGGAAAGTTGTCTTTTTGCCATTAGAAGTTAGTTTTTGCCTCTGGTTTTCCATCAATCAAATCAAATCCCAGTTTTTCCAGGGGTTTTTGTGCCATCAGCCGCCTCTCCATTCTGCATTCTAAATAGTCTTTTGATTCATTTCTGCACAAAGCATTTTTTATTTTATTGTCAGGGAGATACTTGATGAATTTCTCTTTAAAGCTTTTATGTTCACCAAAGTGATCCAGTGGGAAGCTGCCCTTGTCTGGTGCTGTGGCTGGAAGCTCTTGTACCCAAAATTCATGGCTGTTGACCTCATTGTATTTTTTTTTTTAATTAAACTCTATCCCTAACATGGGACTCGAACTCACAACTCTAAGATCGAGAGTCGCATGCTCTACCAACTAAGCCAGCCAGACGCCCTATCATTGTATTTGTAGTACCTGATGTAATAACACGATGCCCAGAAAAAGTATTTGTCGAACGACTGGCCAAATACAAAAATGAATGAACAAGCGTGAAAAGTTTGGAAAGGAGGGTGCCTGGGTGGTTCAGTCAGTCAGTGAAGCGTCTGCCTTCAGCTCAGGTCATGATCCCAGGGTCTTGGGATCGAGCCCCATGTCGGGCTCCCTGCTCAGTGGGGAGTCTGCTTCTCCCTCTACCCTTCCCTTCTGCTTGTGCTTTCTCTCTCTCTCTCTCTCTCAAATAAATAAATAAAATCTTTAAAAAAAGAAAAAAAGAAAGAAAAGCTTGGAAAGGAAAGACCAAGTGATGATCTCAGGGCCAGGATCAAATAATTACCTCTGAGTTATCCAGCCCTAGTTTTTGTACTGAAGCAGAGTACCTCTAAAGGACCCCTTTTCCCTTATGAATCTTCTGCAGTCTTAACTGATGTTCATCATTTCTTCCTGCCCAGTGTCCACTCCCTTTTTCTACGAGGTCCCCAATTTCCTTTTGGGAAATCACCTCTCTTTATTTCGCACCCTCTTATTGGGAGGGTGAATTTTGGAAAGCAACTCTCACCATGAAAGGTAAAAGAACCTTATCCTTCTGTTTGCCCTCCTTCAGCCCCTCCACATATGGACCCATGTGACCTAAACTCAGCCAATCAGATGCTCTCTCCTGGGACTTTAACTCTTGGGCAAGTGACCCAAGATGGTAAATGTAGTTGGAGCCCATTTCTTTCGGTGGTGGTATACTCATCAGAGAGTTTCTGCCATAAACCCTCCCGAGGCCCTTCCTGCCCAGCCCTCTGGAGATCCTCTTACTCCTGACTTTTTCTAAGCCCAGTCCTCCTGCCTTTAGCCATGTCACTGAGCTGCTAATAACCTTCCAATGAATGAACTTGCATCCATGCAACCAAGACCCCTCATGGGGCAGGCTGCCTGCTCCTCTGGCTAAATAGCCTGCTTTCTCTCACTTCATTTCTCTTCCTAGGCAGTCTTGCATGGCTCTTTAAAAATGCTATACTGGGGGTGCCTGGCTGGCTCAGTCGGTAAAGCAGGCAACTCTTGATCTCAGGGTCGTGAGTTCAAGCCCCACGTTGGCCATAGAGTTTACTTAAAAAAAATTTTTTTTAATGCTATATTGGAAGGTTCCTCCTTCAATACTCCTTCCAAGTGATTGTTATTTGTTCTATTCATTTCCAGGTTCTAGTTCCTTGTAGCAGACAATGATAAGGCTGTCCTTTCTTCTCTGCAGCAATTCCTCCTTCTGTGTAACTGATTCCTCACCTCCAACAGCTTGACCTTGTGCTTTGACCACCATGGATTGGGCGAGCATTAGACATCTTACCCTAAGCTGGGCCAATCAGATCTCTCCTTCCTGGGAATTTATAAGTTTGACCTAGGGAATATGAAAGTAGTAGGTGGCTGAGAGCTAAACCTCACAAGTGGGTTGGTGCTAGGAGGATGGCCTATAATTTTCTGTTGCCAAAGTTTGGGATTTTTGAGTCCCAACACTTCCCTATCTTGAGGAGCATTGCAATAATTTTGCCTTCCTTGATAAAGTTTTCTAATATTGACCTATGTTAGCTGCAATCACAAGAATCTTTTTTTTAATTTTTTTAAAAGAGTTTATTTATTTATTTGACAGAGAGAGACACAGCGAGAGAGGGAACACAAGCAGGGGGAGTGGGAGAGGGAGAAGCAGGCTTCCCGCTGAGCAGGGAGCCCAATGCGGGGCTCGATCCAGGACCCTGGGATCATGACCTGAGCCGAAGGCAGATGCTTAACTGACTGAGCCACCCAGGCGCCCCCAATCACAAGAATCTTAACACAGTCGCCATATGATAGAAGGCTCCTTGGAGGCAGGGCCAGATTTTCATTCATTTGTCCATGTGTTATTCATCAGACATTTATTGAGTATTTACTATGTGCTAGGTGCTAGGAACCCAAAGGTGAACTAGACAATCCCCTGACTTCAAGGAGCTTGTTCTCTGTCTAGTTGGGGGTATAAGTGTATTCATTCATTCATTCCTTCATTCATTTGACAAATAATTCATTTCCTCAACAAATGATTGACAGCATGTATTAACTATTATGTGACAGGCTCTGGTACTAAATGGTTTTCTTTTTTCATTCTCACAACTCTTTGATGTATGTTTCATTTTACAGACGAAGTAACTGAGTCACAGGGAAGGAAGTCAAGCAGCTTTGCCAAAGTCACAAGGCTTTTAAGTGCTAGAGCTGAGTCTCCAATCCTGTGTGGCCATGGAGCTCTTGCTCTGAACCACTCTGTAATCTCACTCTCAAAAAAAAAAAAACCCAAAGTAATGTGACATGTGCTTGCTAACACAGGTGTGTATAAAGTTTACAGTGAAGAAAGAGACTAATTTTGTGAGGCGGTTGGAATTCAAGAAAGGTTTTACAGTTGAAATGGTTTGAGCAATCTTGAAGGAAGACTTGTAACCCCGGTGCCTAGCCCAGAACTTTGCTTGTGAACTCAGTAAAATGGTGATGAGGTGGCTTATGCATCTGGAAGGAGCTGTTTTCCTGTTTGCATGGAGCCTGGGGTGTTACCTACTGCCTTCTGCGGCATCCCTTTTGTGATTTAGCAATGGTGTGCAAGGTTATCAGATCATTTGTGTATTATATCATTGATGCTCACAAAAACCCTGTGAGGTAAGTAGTACAGGTATTAATTTTGTAAGATGGGTGAGGAAACCAAGGCTGATGTTGCATGACTCATCCAAGACCACACATGGTGAGTAAGTGGCAGAACAAGACAAGGACCTGTGTCCTGCCCTCCAGAGAGAGGGACTGGCTAACAGGATTCCTCTAATCTAGTCACGTCCTCACTCCTAGGCTCTAATTTAAGGCTTTGCGCTTTCCAGCCTCTGTACCTGAGCTTCTGAAGGTTCCCTCTCCTGGGAACACCCTCCCCTTACCTCTCATCCCCAGTTCTGCAAATACTGCTCATCCTTCAAGATTAAGCTCATCCTACATCTTCTTCCCAAGTCTTTTCCAAATTCCAAATTGGAAAGCTTCAATTAAATCCCTTAGCCCGGCTTCCAACCAGATTCTTGCCCTGAAAAAGTTTTTGTATGGAAAGTCTAGACTTGTCACTGTAGTCCAGCCTTCTTCATCAGAACTCCAGCCTTCTGTAGGCCTTTTATTGCTGTTTGTGTTATACATGTACACCTTTTCTCTCACTAGAATGTAAGCCCCACGTGGTGCAAGCCACATGTTTTTCTTTTAGCCTTATACTTCTATCACAAACTTATGTTCTTTAGGATCATAGTGTTTATTGACTCAAAGAAGATATCTGCTCTGTCCACCTGCTGTTAGATTGTTCAGCTCCTAAACCAGGAAAAACTGATAGTTGTCAATCCCTTTCCTAAAGAACTAAATTCTTTATGGGTAACCAAAAGTCTCTTGTTATGATGTAGATCCATTTCCTTTCTAACTCCTATGGGAAGATAGAACTCAAGGGGTGCAAAATAATATTTATTATGCTCCTACCATGGGCCAGGCATTATGATAGGTGCACAATGTTTTATTAACGTATTTCTTGCAATGAGCCTATGAGACAGAAAGTATTAACTCTATTTTAGAGAATTTGGCTCCCGAAGTGGCTAAATACTCAAGGTTTAGCTTTCAGTTATTGGCAGAGTTGGAATGAGACCAGGTTTCCTGACTCTTAAGGAGGTATTCTTTAAAGGAAATTGTACAGAAAACCCTGATTAGGGGCAGATGTGAAGGGCAAAGAGACATCCGAATTATTAAGAAATGTGTTAATGTACGCAGCATACTGAAGAATGGTGAGAGAATGCTGAAAATGCTATCCTATAGATACCCACATAGGAATTCGCTGATTAAATCAAGGAGCCCTGTCTCCGCCTGGGATTCAGATCCCAGAACTTCCCCGGAGGCAAAGGCAGAGAGGGCGCCACCTGTCCAAGAGAACCCGGGAACCTGCTCTGGACACTAGGGCTCAGCCCCTTCCTTTCCTCACTTTCTAATTGGCCTACTTCTTCCTGGGCCCCGCCTCCTCTGCGTGGACCAAGAAGCCGCCAAACCCTACCCAGGCCCCTCCTCGACACCAGCGAGCCGCCTTTGCTGTCGCCCGTGATTGGCCAGACAGCAGTATGGGGTCCGCCTCCTCCTCCTCCAGATTGGCCAGCAGTCCTCAGGCTCATGTCCCTCCTGTCCGACCCCGCCCCGTTTCCCCTAGGCCGCCGGGCCTTGGGCGAGCCACCGCCTCCGCGGGAGTGGGCCCCGCCCCTTGTGACGGCCAGGCCGGTAATTGGCGGCGGCGTGCAGCCATTTCCGGTTTCGGGGAGGTGGGTGGCGTGCGGAGCGGGACTGGAGCCGCCGCCGCCGCTTGGGCTGCCGCCTACAGAACCTGCCTTGCGCCTGGTGCTGTCGGGACGATGCGGCCGGGGCCCGGAGGCTGCTGCTGCCGTCGCCCGATGCGGGCGAACGGCTGCGTGGCGAACGGGGAAGTGCGGAACGGGTACGTGAGGAGCAGCGCTGCTGTCGCCGCAGCCGCCGCCGGCCAGGTATGGTGGCACCGGGCGGCCGGGCTGAGCCGGAGGTGGCGGGCCGGGACCCCGCGAGCTGAGCCCGTGCGGAGCCGGCAGAGGGGCGGCCGGGCGGGGCGAGGTCGCAGTGACCGTCCGCGGGGGCGGGCGCCGGGCACGACTCAGGTGTGCTGGCGGCGGTGTCCTGGCGCTGACCGGGCCTGCCCCAAGCGGGAGGCTCAAGGGCGGCGTAGGGGCTCCCTCGTGTCTCCGCGTCTGAGGTCTTCCTCCTTTCCTTTGGAGGTTTGGGCTCTGGCTCAAAGTCCGAGTACCTTCCTCCCCTTGATCTGGCCAGA